ATTTTTAGAGGTTTTAAAACTGAAACTCACTTCACGCACAATGCGATCCCTATCCGGATCACTTCCATGCTCGATAACATGTTGAATCACGTAATTCCCATACTGATCGAGTACAAGTGAGCGAACGTTCGCATGCAAAGCTTCAAGAACAGGTCTCTTCTGTTCTTCAGTACAATGTTCGAGAACCCTCTGTATTACTCGACAGCCATACGGATGCATTGACAACTGCATAATCTTAAATATTGAACCGTACATCTCAAATACCTTGACTGATCAGAGAGCTAAAAAGCTTATAAGTGGAATAAACAGAATCTCAAATACTGCAAATCATTCTGAAGAGGTCAGCTTGAATTGAAAAAAAAAGATTGCCTATAATTCTCAGTCTCAATTAACCTTTCCTGAATTGTCAAAATGTATAAAAAGTAGTATTGAAAAACTTACTTTAATTAGGATGGAGATGGAAATAGCATCTGTCAAAAGTATGTCATAGGTTTTTCAAGCGTTTTTTCTTGAAGAATTTGCTTCAAATGCGAAGGGATCCAAGAATAGAGATAACCCTGCACTCCCCCCCCCACCCCTCCCCCAACCTTTGAAACTAGTCGGAACAAATGGTCAACATGTTACTGTTTATTTCGACAACTCTCAAAAACCTCAACATTCTTCTAAAATTCGCATCAACCCTTGACAATCCAACTTTCCTCACTACAGCAACCATCCATCTTCTTTCATAGATATGAGCACTATTCCACTATTAGAACAGCCGAAAAAATCCCGCTAAAACACATTGCTTGTAGGAATTATCAGCGCATTTATCACAAATGCCACAATGCTAACTTGGCAATAAAACCCTTCTGCCGGCAAATTCGTCAAATCGCAGGTAGATGTATTAGGTTGTCTCATAAATAGTGTCGCTTTTTTTCAACCAAAAATTTTCATCTAAATCCCCATGCTTTTACATCGAGTTCATATACCATTCGAAAGAGAATTGTCTGCTCTACAAGAATGCTATGTTCTCTTCCATCTATGTTCCAGGGTTTTCAAATTTTAGGCCTGCGAAATGGGAACTCCAACCGACAAAAATTGACCAAACCGACAGCTATCTCTAACTTTATCTTCCATTGTGAGAAATCAAACAATACGTGTACCCTCTACTTATGTATGACCTCTTCTAAACATTGCACTACTAGGCTTCCCAACAAGTCGCGTCATTCCATTTCCAGACCTGGTTTTTCAACCAAAACTCAATGGTCAAGCACCATTACCTGGCGCATCTAGGGGTCGAAATTTTTTTATAGCCGAGACATTGAAAAACTAGTAGAATTTAAAGAACAAGTCATGACTAAGTTAGGAATGTACGCCTGGTTGATTTTCTCATCTTCTCTCAAGGATAATTTTTTTCAAAGAAATGCGGTCACTTTCGTGGATAAAGCACCTTACTCCTAAACACCTAAAATTCGAGCTAATTCCTAACAAACATTAAAACAAAACAAATGAGCGAATAGAAGCAGAAGAAGTGCTCACAAAAGATACACCAGTTGATATAAAACAATAGCGTTTCAGAGGAAGAATTTCAATTTGAAAATTGCCATGGCTTATCGGTCGGCCAATTCGAAAAGAAACAGGGCAAACCTTTTTCGGCAACCTAAGGGTGGAATGTTCAGAAGAGGTCATGAGTAAGTAGAGGGTACATCATTGATTGATTTCTCCGAGGGAAAATAAAGTTAGAGCTAGTTGTCGGTTTGGTCAATTTTTGTCGGCTGGACCTCCCATTTCGCAGGCCTAAAATTTGAAAACCCTGGAACAGAGGTGGAAGAGGAACATAATCTTGTAGAGCAGACAATTCTCTTTCGAATGGTATATGAACGATGTAAAAGCATGGGATTTAGATGAAAATTTTTTGGTTGAAAAAAAGCGACACTATTTATGAGACAACCTAATAGTTCAGTACCCTGCTCACTAATATAGCTTCATTTGAAGCGCCAAAGCAACTTGGCGCAGATTTAGCTCACATTGGTGCAAATTGGTGCCAAAGTAGTGCCAAGTGGTCCTAGGTCTGAGAATGAATTTCATATTCACAGTCAAGATGCTGAAGTACCACTATACGCAAAGGCTGAGATGCATTCATCAAAACGAACCGTATCTGGTCCATTTTTCATGAAAGTGTCAATGATGAACTGCAGACGCTCCGGTTTCACCTTTTCAATCACCTTCTGTACAACGTGATTACCATTCTGGTCCTTAACGCACTTCAGCACCTAAACTTAGATTGCTGGTTTGAAAAGTATGGATCCTTTAAATCATCACAATTCAACATATCACATATAAACATCAAAAATCATAGGCCTGGAAATAACTATATCTCTAGTTTTCGCTTTCACAACTACTTCGAAGGGTTCTCCGAAGTCGAAAGTCGGGATTGCTGTAGGCAGCACGTACTGTAGGGATAACAACTGAAAGGAACGATCTGGTGCAGAATTCAATTCAACATACCTGACTCTCCAACTCCTTCAAAATTTCCAATTGTATTGTTTCATCCACTGATTCCAACGCTTTCTGTATCACACGACAACCATACATTTGTAACGCAAGATTCATCACATCTCCTTTAAGCGAGCGACCAAGCGCAACCTTTTGCTCTGGAGTTCCAAACTCGAAAAACTTCTGAAAAAAAAGAGTCAAAGCAGAAACCGGAGCGAATTACAGACTCGTTAAGATTCTAACAAGGCTGAGACAATGACTCTCAATACATAGAGCAGTTATTCAGCCGTGTCTAAGCAATGCCAAAACGCGGAGCCGTACACTCCTGTTCCTCGAGGGGAATGCTTACCCTCCACCGATGCTAACAGCCGGCGTGGAGCCGCATGCACCACGCTCCCACCTCCTCCGGATCCCTTCAAGCTACTACTTTGCATTGACCTAGGGAAAGAGATGAGGCTCATCGTTGGTTAAGAAAACCAGATACTTCCAAGAAAGTTTACTGCAGTTAGCTAAGGAAGACTTCCAGCGCTAATGTCGAAATTCCCAAGCGCAGAGAGGCTTTCGTGCCAATAGTGTGACCCACAATTATCTCTGAATTTGACCTATTCAAAGGTTAAGAGCTGCTGCATTCAATTTTTGTCGATGTTTACCTAGGAAACCATGCTCTGCTGTAGCTATCTTGACCGATACCGTGCCCCATTGCAATTTCGCGCCCCACGGAAAATGATCTACTGCAGTAAGAGACTTTTGTCTCAGAGAGCTAGAGCGCAGACGAGTAATCTCCGAACGACTCGACTCCGAATATTGCAAAAAGAGAGGAGTGAGACTTCAGGCCTGAGATGTAGGTAGGGGATCTTTGAAGTAAGTCAATCGTAACGCAGCAAAAGATGGAATGTACGGTCGCAATAGGCATACAGCGCGGTGCTAACTTAGTTGGGGGGGGGGGCACGCGGCGGCGCGGCAGTCTGCTCACCTGGGCTCTCTCGAGCGAGACAGTGTAAACTCGAACATTCCAGCTTTTCACGCATGTCAAGTGACTGCCCCCACCCCCCCCTAGACTGCCTACACTCCCCCTGGCCCACGGATTTCCGAACATGCCAGGCGAGCAGACTGCCGCGCCGCCCAACTAAGTTAGCACCTACAGCGCAACTTAAACGTGGGAGCACAACAACAATGACAAGGCTCAAAGGACCTAGTTCAAGCAGTACGTAGAAGCATACCTGCACGACATAGTTGCCAAATACATCGACCATTAGAGCATGTGCGTTAGCGAGTACTTCGTCAAAGAGCAACTGCTTCTCCTTCGCAGACGCACGCTCGAGTTTTTGTTGAATAAATCTGCAAGGAATTATGCAGAACTCAAGATGAATGAAAAAATTTCTCGGTACGTACCGAGATCCATGCTGGTCCTTGGCAAATTCCACCACATGAGATATGATGTCCGTAATTTGAAGTTGAGGAGTACGATTGTTGCGGAAATCGTCAAGAAGGTGACTTCGATTCGGCTGCCTTGAATAATTAAACGGGTAAAGCTTGAACCGGAATGAGGCAGCTCTGCTGCTCTATATCGTCCTCCGTCACCTCTAGCACACACTATCTCCCCATTGTATTCCGTAGTCAAATGCGACTGCATTGCAGACTTAGACAATGGGCGTAGCACAAACTCAGCAACATCAAAAGCTGCATTTGACATTGATTATTTTCAAGGTCTCATTATAGGCTGCTACTGACTTTGCGAAATAGTAGTGAAACGAGTGGCGATGGCCTCAAAAAATCAATGTCGCATGTGATTTTAATGCAACCGATTGCTTTATATTACGCCCAAGTGGCGCTTAGTCTGCATCGCACACGTACCCAACTGCCGGATACAAAGGGTATATAAGGGGTTGAGGCTAGTGATGCGGCCAGGAGCAGCTGACGGAGGCAGCCTATTTGCTATTCGAAAATAGCCTGGGAAAAAGTCATCTCACCTCGCATTGTTCTCATCGTTGCGGCGTCGTTGGTGTGCCCCACCGTAGTGAGGTGAGTTTGACGAAGGAGCAGAAGCATTGAAGAGAGAAACGCGAGAATTGTTAAATCCTTGCATTCCAGGCCCGAGGTGAGATGTCGGCATGGTGGGAATGGCATTGCCTGCAACGAACACTAGCTTCGAAAAATCACTCTTGACATCGCGTTTCTACGGATAAAAGCCTGATGAACCACTATAAGGGTGACAAATTGCACATACAGCTGCATTATCGTTAGATTTCTAAAATCGATGGGGACTCGAGCAATTAACTAGCAGCTGGGACCGATTCGACTGAGCCCTCAAGAAATCTTTGTGTTTACTGTGTACCTTTAGCTCATCGCGCGGTGAGACACATATATGCAGCTTGCCGCGCGCGGCACCTGAGATACAGTCGATTCGCACTACACTTGTTTCACTACGCTGCGCCCTCATTCACATGCGTAGTCGCACAGTCTGTCTGCCAGATTGCAGGCTGAGCCAGCAAAGTGCCGCCTAAACTCTCAACGAGCGCCACGTGACAAATGTGCATGCCGCCGCGCCCTGACCAACGACCCACATTCTCGCCTGAATTGTTCGCGCCACGAATTTCATCAAAAACCCAGTTGGATAACGATGTGCAAGCAGCACGACGAAAACAAGCGCGACACATCACATCACATGATAAACGAATAGCAGCCAAAACAAAATGACAAATTACCGAAGAAGTTCGGACTACTGCCTAACGATGGAGCAGCAGTAGGAGCTTGTGATGGTGGCTGATTGAACTGCATGTACATCAACTGAGGTGGTTGTGCAAGTGCGGGATATCCAGACGATCCACCCAGACCTCAAACACATCATCGTCCCGTCAATGTCGCCGAATCTATTTAGTTTTCTACAGACCGCTTTGCTGACGCTACCTTGATAATAGGAAGGCCTGTTAAGCAGGTGTCAGAAGGACAGAGACGTGCCATAAGCACGGTCCACAGGTGGCGCTTACGCTACGCCAGCTGAGCGAACAATACTGCGGGGTGCTGCCGGAGAAGCCTCTTCAATCGGCCCGACGTACCCCGCAATAAGCCGGTATCAGACTTTGCGAATACAGCGAATTGCGGGACACAGGCGACGCACCAGCTTCCCAACGATGCACTAGCGACTCGACAGCAGAGGAGAGTGGCGGGAGTCCCCTGGCTCGCACGTTGTCTATCGCCATCTTTCCATGCTCGCGAATGCATGACAGCGCGAGATGTCACGAGCGCATGGGAGCGAGGGATTCAAGAGGAGAACGAGGATTTGCGCGCATGAAAAGGATTCCCATCACTTTTCCATATTGTCGAGTCGCCAGGGTATCGTTCAAACCGCTGGGGCATCACTTATACCCAGCATTTCGCTAATTCGAAAATTTTGACAGCGGCTATATTGAACGTCTGGCTTGCAATGCGGCGCGAACGCCTACTGCGGACTGCGCGGACAGTGCGTCTGTCGCAAAGTCTGACACCTGGCTTAGTGTGCACGCATGTGAAAAATCAATAGCGATCACGCATAAGTGAAATGAATGTCCATTAATAAGCACACGCGCTGCATTACTGCATCACATCAACCGTGGCAGTTTTGTTTTCGCGTGCTTGTTCTATTGCGAAAGCCCTTGTCAGCAAAGTGATTTGTAGGAGTGACATTTATTCACATACGAAACAACTTCTAACCAAAAGTTCACTAGATACGACAAATTGCGGGAGCGCTACGCTTCTGAAGAAGTTTGACAAAGTTTCAGTTTCTTTAGTGGCTTAGCGAGTCAAGACAGTGATGGTAGCATTGCTAAGAGTAGGCGGAATTCTTGCAGCTATTCACCAGTGAGAGTACGCAGGAAGCATACCCTGCGCACTCTGCTAGGCTGGTGTCAGAGTCCGCGATTCGTCGCAAGTTTCGCGCGCCTCACGCGATTCACGTGACGGCTCGCGGAAATCATAAGTGCCCGATCAATACTGTAAGGTGTTCTCCA